TTATCTTAAAAAAAAAAAAAAAAAAAAACACACACAAAATAAACGCTAAAAATACGCGATCTTGCTTCCGACCTGACGTTGTCTTCGGGCGATATTTTGAAAATGACCACCTTAACGCATTATTTTAAAAAATCACAAAGAACGCTACATAATTATTTTTCAAAAATAAATTTACAGGAGCATGACGATCGAAAAAAAAAAAACATTACATTGAGTATAATAGAAAAGAAGCTTGTAGAAATCTGAAGTATGTAGAATCTGAAATTTTTAGTCCTTTCCCTCATATCAAAAAAATTTTTAGATAAGTGAATATAAGGCCGGATAAAAAAAATCTAATTTAAAACCCCGCTGTTATTCTTAAGATACGCTCGCCTCCCTATCCTCCCTTAGATTTAATTTACATATTTGCTTTTCTTCTTCTTTACTCTATACATTTACAATACACTTGCATTCCTGTTCCTTTCTTCGCTTTTCTCCATCTTTCTTTTTTCTTCTCTCTTCTACATATCCGCTTCTTTTCTATTACACTCAATGCCATGTTTTTCGATCGTCATGCGCCTGTAAATCTATTTTTTTTTAAATAATTATGTAGGGTTCTTTGTGTTTTATTTTTTGTTTTGTTTTTTGTTTTCTGTTTTTTTTTTTTAGATAAAGCTTTAAGGTGGTCATTTTTAAAAATATCGCCCGAAAAGACCGTCAAGTCGAAACCAAGGTCGCGTATTTTAATTGACCTCCTGATTTTTAAAGTTACATATAATTCATATATTCCCTATTTGTTACGACGCAATCTCCATCGATCTTGTTTCAACTATAACTTGGTGAATTCCCGATAAAAAAGGTAAAACAAAGTCACGTCTATTTTTCTTTCTTCCCCACATTTGCTGTTGCTTCCGAATACTGCAAGAGAGACAAGATCTTACGCTTCGTCATCTCATCTATCGGGAACCAATGACATCACTGACAATAAATATACAAGCAACTTAAAATAATTTAATTTCATTATATATATTATTTTCATTTCATTTCATTATATATAATATATTTATATCATCCATGTGCGTTTTTAGTCCTATTTATGTTAACATATGCCATAGAAATGTGTTGTTATGGCCTAGATAATTATTTACTATTGTGTTAGCAGAGTTGAGTAACGTAAGCGCTTATTCACGGAAAATCGCAGGTACGTTCCGACTTCCATGGAAAATCATGTTACGACCCCTCTTAGGAACGGATCTCTGTCGTACGTCGAGGACAACCTGCATAAGATAGAGATATATAAATATATAAAATTTCGGATAAAACATATCTGTAAAAGAAATATGAATCCCAAACGCAAGTCATCAATCTGCCACTGGGTGGCATGTTACTAGCGTTTACTGTTGGTGACCCGCTGTCGGACCGCCGGCGTGTTACTCTAGGACCGCTAGAGGTGGACAGCTAAAGCTGGACAGCTAAAGGCGGGCCGCTTAAGAGGCCCACCGATGGTTGCCACCAGAGGACTGCTGGCGTTGCCATCGGCGATTCAGCATCGGGCTACTAGCGGCTTGCGGGTAGGAAATAAAATGAAAACTTATCTTAGCGCCGACGCGTTTCATTCTCTTTGCCGTGATAAGATCCCTCAGAAGTCGAAACGCGTCTTTTGTCGTTATCCATACATATCTCTACAAATATTTAAGTATTTGTATACCCTTTGAGCAGATATGAATGTACGTGAGAGATTCATGGAAGATTGAAGTAAATTCGAACTTGCTAACCGAACGCTCCTCTGTGGCCAAATCGGTTAAAGGCACGTTAGGCTGTATGACGGTTCCATATAAGATACAGGTTCAATTCCTGTCGGAGAAAGAATATTTTCTATGAAAATTTCTCGAACATTCAGGTCGGTAAATGTTGTTTAATACTGTTTATTATAAACATACATATGTATGTTACGTGTTTATAATAATTTTATTGATGGAATCCTGTATATTTAGGGGAAAGGGAATGGAATCTAAACAAACCTCGGTTATAATTGAACATCGAGAGAAAAACTGAATGTGCAGAGACGTTCGGCTTTAACCTTAGATTTTAAATCTCTCTCGTACTGTGTGTCGTGATGCACTGCGTAGCCAACGTCATTCGACTTCTTACTGTTTTTTTCTTCTTTTTTTTTTGTCCCACATCCCCGTTGTTTTAAATAGCCGAATATTGTAATATTGTAATAGCAGTAGTTCTGCGAAGAATGGTGATGTGCTCTACGCATCTCGACGTAAAGAACTCGCGATAAGGAATTGCTTTCTCTGTTCAGTAAAACAATGTTTCGATTTTCTCATTCAATTACTCACCTTTAGCCTCATATATAGAATTTACATATCATATTATCGCAAACACATACGCAGATATATATATATATGTGTGTGTGTGTGTGTGTGTGTGTGTGTATGAATATGATATATAAATATATATATATATATATATATATATATATATATATATATATATATATATATATATATATATATATATATATATATATATATATATATATATATATATATATACTTTTTATTCCCTAAGTGCTTTCAAGCTCATCCAAAACCCTCTCCAGGGGTGAATTGCTAAAACAAAGAATTAATGCAACTGACAGGAATTTGTATGCATGCGCAAT